AGCTGTGTTTAGTTAGAAAGCTATCTGCAACCTACTGTAATGTAGAGTTGCCTCTGGCACAAGCACAACATTGTTAAGGCTGACTATCTACTATCTGAAAAAAAAAAGCTGTTTTTGTCCTGTATTAGATAAAGGATTTTCCTAAGAGGACGTCACTCTCACAATTCTGTCATCTTTGTCTAGAAGCCTTTCTCAATTTTCAGTTACTGTGCTCTCACTAATCCTAACATACAACCAATTTCCAAGCACTTTACATAAGTAAAGGAAAATCACAAAAGGCTTTTATGCTATTGCTGTTTGTCTCCCCAGAGCATGGGGATAATTGGTACCAGCGTATTCCTGTTCCTGCTGTGGAACTGGCAGATAATGAAGAGAGATTCCAGAAGGAGCAGCATAACTGCTGCCTGAACATGCAAGTGTACAAATCCGGCAACATTATTCTTACTGGTTTGCAAATATTCTGGCTTCTCAAGTGACCTACATCATTTGCAATCCTTTCTATCAGATAGATGCTTAGATAACAGTCATTCAGTATTGGGGACTCTGCAGGAAATGAAGGTTGTGATAATATCACATATTTCCTATGATTTTTATCAGAAAAATTTACAATTTATGTCATCGGTGAGAACCACTTGCCACATCTCACATATGAAGAGATATAGAGAAATTTAAAAGAACACTTAAAATGGAGCATCCTTGAGAGTCTTAACATAGATTTAGAAACAAAATCATGAAAAAGGCTAAGTCTCTTCTAGAAATCAGTCTCTTCTAGAAATTCCCAGGGCGCAGTGCATCGTATAAAAATAGTCTTTAAATGGCATGTTGACCTCTTATGGAGGCTTTCTCAAGAACTCCACTACAGAAGCCAAGGCCACGGAATCTAAGGCAGCCAGGAAGTGGCAGGCAGCAGGATAAGGAGTAGGAGGGAATCCACTCCGCTCTCCAGTGGTTTCAGACTTTGAGCTGAGCAGACAGCAGGAACAAGAGAGGGGCACCCCGTGCGAGATGYTAGAGAGGAATCATTCGGGCAGGCTCCTGCATCTCAGTAATTTGTCTGCATTCTGCTCGTCCCACTTCTCACGCATGCTCTTGAATACAAGGATAGGGCAAATACAAAGACTTTTGTCTTTGTAGCAATGCCTTTGTTTCCTGTAAACAGCTTAGAAAATACACTAGAAAATAGGAAATGCATCTATACATTGTGGTGGCATGTAATCCATACAGTAATCAATTTTCCAGCTCTACAGAGGCAGACAGGAACCATCTTCAGTAATTTAGCAAAACTGCAGCCAGCAAAGATTAATTCTACCTGTGCACAGTGTGATAAATACAGAAAGTAAGTAAATCTGACCCTTTAGAAATAGACCTAGGTTGAGGTACAGCCCTTGATATAACCTGGTAACTCTTTTTAGATCGGTAGTTATTTCTAGTGATAGAAGCTTAATCTGAGCTATTTAGATGTGGTCTCCACATAATAAACAGAGAGGAAAAACTTCCTCTACTGAAATCAACAGCAATCTTGCATTCATTGCCCTGATGATTTCTCAAGTCGTTCTGCGACCATGAAAGAAGAGAAAATGCTGTCCAGTGAAACCCAGTGTAGCAGGGCCACAGAGGGTATGAAGGCATCAGCTCACTGAGATGAAGGAATGGATCATCCTGGGGCACTGTACTGCAAGTGCACTGTTAGTGCATCACTGTTCTAATCCTGGTGACTTCCACAAATGCACAAACCTGTATTTATGAATCACCATCTGGTACCACAAAGTACCCCTTAGCACATACAGATCCTTCTGCAGACAGGAATGATATACTGCTAACTTATATGGCCTATATGATAGAAATACAACTCTTGACAGGATAGCACATTCTGGTTAGAAGCTTCTCACTTTTATCCTTCTATGCAATGATGAATCTTGCTGTGTTTCTACAAAACTTTATAAATAATATCAGTAATGAGACTGCAGGGTTCTGTGGAAGCTAGAATATCATCAGTTCATTTCCCTTATGTTTTCCATTTCTACAGAGGAACTGTTTAAAATAAGAAAACTTTTAGGTGTTGAAGAAAAAGGTTGCTAAGAGGAGTCCTATCTCCAAGTTTTACTAATATATGGTAATGTGTTTATGCAAGAAAATGTGTGTATGCAAGAAAATATTTCCATATGATTACAGACAATGTTCTAGCAGTGAGGACGTAATAAAGAGGATGAAGAAAAAAGAGGACAATACATTACTATAACCAAACAAAGCTGTGCACACAGTGCTGCACAAACCACTTCTGCCTGGGCCAATGCAGTGAAATCAGGACAGCCACTTAAACAATTTTTCATACAATCTTCAATACAATCCCTTTGAGACAAATGGTTGTGATATATGAATACTCTTGAGTATTTTGATGTACATATATCTAATAAAAATATGATTGCTATTATTAGTGACACATATTTTATGGCTTTTTATTCCTTTTTGATTTGAAGGCTTTTCAGTATAATACTGACATTGCTTGATATTGATTGATAATATTGAGCAACTTGTTATATGTGGTAATAATATTTCTGTCATAAAGTTTTAAAAATATGAAAAAGTGGGGATTTTTTTCTGTGTGGAACTTGCTTATTTTGCCTGAAATTTTCCACTTACTCCATTTATTTTGGCTTGCTTTCTAACAAAAACATTTTCAGGGAAAGCAGTGTAAAAAAAACCCTGGACAGAGCGTTGACAGGTGAAGCCACATTTGAGCCCCGATCAGTAGGAGCTGCACCAGGAGCTGCAGGGGAAGCTCACAGAGAACGGGGACACATCAGCAGCGATGCCGTAACAAAAGCACCCAGCTCTCACCCACAGATTGCATTCTGCCAAGGGAACTGAATCTCCTCGTCGAATTTTGTTTCACCAAGTTAGGCTCCGGCACAACCATTCTTGGGTTCGGAACAATTATCACTGAATTGGTGCAACCGTTGTCTAAATGTGCAAGAAAGGAGGAAAATGAATGTTTATTCCAGTAAAAATAATGGTCATGGGTTCTGACTTTGCTGAAACTGTACTGCCAGAAATCCTACCCTTTCACCAAGGGCACCTCTAACATGAATACTCCCAGTCAAATTTCCTAAAATTTCCTAGTCACAACTGTAACTCTGCTAATAAATAAAGTGCTAGTATTCTTAYGGTATTTTATGAAGAAAAGGTTTCTCCCCACACCTTCCATCCTCATCCCCTAAACTCCGTCGTATTATGATGGGCAATGCATCAGAATTAATTAGCATGAAAGCTGGTGAAGATAAAATGATGGCTCAAACATCAAAAGGAATTAGACTGAAAGGTGGTGAAAAGCCCAACAGCCACAAGCCTCCCCTGTGACCGAGAGGAAGGAACACTTGGATAAATAGAGACTGACACAGCAAACAATTCCTTTACAAAAGACTTTCAAAAATGCCTTCTACAATATTTCAATTGGAAAATAAAAATGTCTAAGATGCTTGTGTACAATTCATCTCAGTTGACTCTACTAAGTCTAAAAATTTCAAGCAAAAAACACCTTCAAATATTTCAGCAGGTAAACATGTCTACAGAACAACATGAGCTTGATCTGCAGTTTAGCTGTGCCATAGAGAAGGCTTCCTGAACACACAGGATCATTTGTGGTCAACTACTTCACAATGGACATTAATGAAGAAAATGTTCTACATTAGGCACTTTCAGTACGTGGAATGTCACCTGGAAGAAAGGTCATCAGAATCGGCAATGTGAGGAAAAAAAAAGAAATCAATGTGTGCAAATGTGCAMCCTCAAAACTCAGAGGAGGACAGTCTGAACTAACACTGTAAGAGAATCACTGCTCAGCGCCACACGAAAATATGCTACTCCTTTCCAAAGAAAGTACTGTATCTAGCCAAAGCTGATGCTCCTCTTTCTAGTAGTAACTTTCATCCTGCTCTTTTAGAGAATTTATAGACACAATTCAGAGAATAAATAAGCAGCAATACCATCTGTCCCATTTCACAAAGGGCAATTTATCTACTCARTGTTAGTGGATGAATCTTGACCTGGTGCTGATACAATGTTTACATTCTGAAGAATGAGCTCTGTAACAGCCAAATGATTTGCCTTGTCTTGATAGCGACAGCAAAGTCATAATAAAACATCCTGCAGAGGTGCAACCAGGTAAGATGTGAGGCAAGCACAAAACTTTTCAGCTCTAAGTACTGCACAAATGGCTGTGAGCACCTGTYGGCAAAGTGTGGTCTTAATTTTCCTCCACCCTGTAAACACAGAATGGAGAGGAGCGTCCCACTTGACAGATATGTCATTGCCACTTGCTATAGAGGGAGGAGAAGGTCCATTTTGTTCTCATTAAACTACTTCAAATGATTACAGATGCAGTAATTTTAGAACTGATACATCTTTGGGTTACTGCACAAAGTTCCACACTTAAAAAAAAAAAGTCTGTTCTGCCACACAAGATTGGTGTATTTGAGTACCTAGTGCTTATTTGGATTTTTTTCTACAAACAAACCCAGAAAACATACCGAGATTTCTTGAACAGTCTTACTGCAAGATTCAGCATTTTTAACAAATAGGTTTTTATCACAAATCTTACCACAAATGATTCTTTACCATTCAATTAAGTTTTTCTGTCATTTCAGGGCCAGATGTATCAGTTGGAACATCTAATTTGCTGGGGAGACTCTTTTGATTAATTTTCTTCATAACCATGATGTTGTTGTAGGAGAGGTATTCTGTCACAGAAAACAGCCCTTTCCCCCAAATTAACTGAGGATGTAGCAGGCACATGGTAAATCCCCACGTTGTTTCAAACCAATGCAGATTCAAAAATGACTCAAAGACCCAAGGAAGGGAAAGTTTTTCTTTTGCTTACCAGGAATGTTCCTTAATCAGTTCAGTGGGGATTAGCTCTAATTGTGTGTGCTGAGTCAAGCACATGGAAGTCAGCGTCTTACATGTTTGTTTATGGGAGGAAGTGTTTGTATCAGTTTACTCACCATTCCATGATTTAGCCATGCTGGTATAAAATTATCAAGCAGCTTCGGGTAAACCAGCTCCCGGTCATAGATATAGATGCTCCAAAACATTGTTACAACAAACTAAAAACAAAAGAAGAAAAGAGAAAGACACTTTTTATATGAACACTTCTGAGCAATTAGCTACACAGTTTAGACAGCAAAACTGGGCATTTAGCAAATGATTTGTGAATAGACACAGATTGCTCTTCAGTCCAATCTTCCCTTAATCCACAGTGCAGATTCTTTGCATTAACGGGAGTTATTATTTTGTTTTCTTTCTTTTGACATTCAGCCTGGAAAAAAAAAACATTTTTTGACTTATGTGCCTGTGGCCAAGTTACAACTGAGTTCTGTATTTTAGTAGCAGCTGTGGCACATAAATAATGTTGCACCACTAACAGCAGAGAAAGCAAATGGAAAAATAGGTAAATCTCACTTAGAACATATAGACATATAGAACATATAACTACAGGGCATTCACCCCAACAGCAGTCTATAGACTGTGTAATCTTTGCACTTTTTAATGCCAGCTATCATAAGAGAGCTATTTAAAAAAAAAAAACCCTTGAAGTATTCTGCACATAATGCATGGACTGGGTTCCACAGAAAATGAGTTCCGGTATCCTGCTCATTTTCAATATGAAATTTGCCTTGGCTTTTGTCAGAGACTATTTACTAGGAGCTGAAAGAAAAATCAATACTCCCTCTAAGCTGAGGACAAGACCGGACAGGACAGGACAGGACAGGACAGGACAGATGACTCAGACAGAATGTGCACTAGCCTAAGCTTTTGCCAAAGAGTGCACAACATCCTTAAAGATATCCCAATGTTTGAAGCAGAGACAATATTAAAACACAAATTTTTAAGAGAAACATGACTTCTAGCTTACCTTTGCTCAAGAGAATACAGACTTACAGTCAAAATACATGTAGACTTCTAATCAAAACACAATCGCCATTTTTCCTCGAATTTAAGCTCATAGTTTCCTGSTAATAAACGGCCTATTGATCTCAGCAGTAAAACCAGGTGAGCCAGGAGTTTTTCACCGCCAATTTTGGGGAGGTATAAAKAGACCTTTGCACAGCAGTGGCATGCCCGAGTTTGGGAGACAACAGCGAGATCCGCCCGCCAGCTCGCAGGCCCCTCCGCTCCCTATCCTGTTCGGCCCGCTCCCTATCCTGCTCCGACGCATTAGGATTCAGGCAGATGGACGGCAGGAGAAAAGGGAAGAAATGCAGGGTGAGCACAGCAAGGCCAGCAAACTCCTAGTAGGTGTGAGAGTGTGGGGGCAAGCTGTTTCGTATGGTTTTGACACCGGAAGGTTAAACTGGAGGTTACAGTTCACCAGTGGCGCCCTGTTCTGGCCGCARACACGCACGCTCGGGCCGGCAGCTGAGGGGGTGCTCTGCCCCACGGCGCTGTCCCCGCYGTGCGCATACAGTACATAGCTTCTTGGTTTCCAACACGCTTGTCCATCTGTTGTGACGGCTACTGCTGCCTGCTCAGATTAAGCTTGGACCCTTTGACTAGTGCACAGATGCCAGGAAAGAAAAAAAAGATGATGATGGACAGCCCAAAAAATATTGCAAGTGTAAAGTACCCCACAAGAAGTCTTTTTTTTTTTGGGCCAGTGTTGGCAGTGGCACAGCATAGCTTTTGTGCAACCTGCTGACACATAAGCGCCAAAGTATGAATAGCTGAACAGCAGGGAAAATGGAAGCAAAGTATCCTCATCCCTAGCGGCTTCCTAGAAGTCCTGTATTATTACAGCGGATCTCTGAGAACCTGCTAAGACCAACGGGGATATAATAACAGGTTCCCAGGTATTTGAAGACCAAGACTGATAATGTTTTTTTTTTCAAAGGAAGCCTTGCAGCAAGGAAATTCACCTAAGCTGACCCTGATTACGGTGAATACAACAAGCTGGCATGTTTTGACCTGTGATTTTTGTGAGGAGCAGAACAAAACAATAGACTTWGCCAAGAAGGTAAACGTAAGAAAAGAGGGGACATGCCATCTGTCCTCTAACCGACGTCAGCCAACGGATGGAATGAGATCAACCTAGCTGGTTGCAACCATCTGGAGCTACAGACGGCACATGCTGCTTAGCAGAGCACGCAAGGTAGACATAAGGTAAAGGAAGTGCTCAAAAAACACAGTGTTGGAGAGGACAGTGCTGGAGAAGATCCCGTCCAATCCTGAACAGTTCACTTGCACTTTTTTACAATTAGTTCATTTGGATAAAATAAGAACTATAATGAGGACATGCTACCGAGCTTCCTTGGCTGCAGCTGACTTCTTTACTCTTCTTTTGATTCATAAGCATCTATTGGATTGGTACTTTTAAATCACACTTGGTAGTATTCTTCTACCTTGGTATGGCAGAATTTTATTCGGGTTTTGGCTAGATCACACGCAGTCATATAACAGAAGACSAGGATTTAGTGAGCTACCACTCCATACTGCCTCTGTAAGGCCCACTCAGAACTGCAACCCCCGTGCTCGTGATCGTGCTCATGATCACATCTTCCCTGTGGCACAATTCAGTGCTGCTGTGGACAGTGTCATTTTACTGCTCTGGATCACTGAGCTGAGCAGGCTGCGCAACAAATGAAATCCTGCAAAATCTTCTCGGCAAATCAAATCTCCACAGTGTTGTGTAGTGACTTGTATATCTCCACATGTGCTGGGTCTTTCAGGAACCCTAATACTTCTTTTTTCATCCCAAGACAAAAGGATACGATGCACTCTTCCACTTCCTCTTTAGACAGACCCAAAGACTGTATTTCAGGGAAGAAAAAGGCAATTGGTTTGGAGCTTCTCTGCACGGAGGTCCCCTAACACTGTTGACTTTCCAAAGGCAGCAATTATCTTCCTGGCAAAGCAGTGTGAGGTTAAGCAATATACAAAAGAACCAAAGAGACCACTTACCCTATCCTGCTTCTCCTATTCTAGGGACATKACAGACCAAAAACAACCTCAAATTTGCAAGTAGGCCTTGCAAATTGTTTGAGAGTATGGAAAAGGTCACCTGTCACAGAGTATCACAGCTACAAAATAGGAGGCTGAAAACAACACTCCATTTTCCACTCTATTAAGGATAAAAAATCCTTCAGTTTTTGCCCTCTGTCTTCAAAGCTTCACAGAAGGACATGAGAGTATGTGGCACTACCAAGGAAGAAATTTTAAAGAACTAATTGGAAAATGGTTGGTAATTCAAAAGGAAAAACAAATGGTTTTATCAAAATACCACAAATAGAAGAAAAAAATAACAGAGGAAAGCCAGCAAAACGAATTGCATCATTTGCTGCTTCACATGAGCCCAAACTAGAAATCTTACGTAAACAAACAGCGAACCCAGTGGAACTCTGTTTTTTCCTGCACTATTTAGTTTTGGTTTTAGCTATGCTGTACAGCAAAGTTAATCAGTTCCTGGATGGTTTCGAGACAAAGAAAAAAACCCTTTGACCTTGAACAACATTCCTTTTGACCTTGAACAACATTTCTAAGAATGCTGTTACTGAGTTAGAGGCAACCTTTCTGGCTGTCTCCCAAGACAGCTGTGGTTAAACATGAGCATAAACAGATTAGCTGTGAGCATCTTTGAGGGTTAAAAGCATTACATATAGGAGCAAAGTGCTATCAACAGCTGACTCCAGTAAGTACAAACTGGCTTTAGGTGAGAACCCATGCCAGCTCCAAATCTCAGCACCTGAATGTGGCAAAGGCCAGTTAAAGAAATCACAAGAAGCAGCTGAAAATCAGGGAAGATTCTCCTTGCAGGAGACAGTTCAGCAGTTACTTTTTTCCACTGCAAGTTGCAATTTCAGCCCAGATGACGGCAGAATCTAAACTCGGAAGATTTTGGCAGGGTCCTCTTCATTATTGAAATGAAAGTATTTTGTATGCTGGTCGGATAATAAAGATAAGTACGAGACACAGTGGGAAATGCCTGCACATCTATAGTCAGGGTAAGATCTCTGATGAGTGTTACTTGAGATAAGGAGGCACCTCTATCTATTCTGCATCATAGATTTTTTAAAACATGAATGTAGAATAAAAAAAAAAAAGTGAGTGCATTCTTGTCAGTTTAGTCTCAGATCGAAACAGAGATATTAAAGCTACACGATACAAAATATCAATTGCGCCGTTTGTGATTTTCTAGACAGTAGTCTCTATTTTAATATATAGCAATACCCATTTTCTTTCTTCTTCTTCTACCTGCTTGTATTAAATGCAGGCTTAAAAACCTAGAAATGACCATTTTATCTCCCCCTCCTCTTGAATTGAAAAAATTACAAGAAACATATTGATAACACTGTATATAGTTTACACAAAATATTAATTAGATATGAAAACTTGGCACCTTTGTGACCCCTGCTGAACAAACAGAAAAGAAGGGATAGTCCAAAAAAAAACCCACCGACACAGGCRCTGACTTACAAGCTCATCTTTTCTTCACAAAGACCATTTTATACATCGTAAATTATTCCCAATATAAAGCTTCTTTACACTGATAAAGAGGTGGTAGGTGTACCCAGGATAGATGAGGAATAGTAGTGAGCTTTTTAAATGCCTATGCAAGCATTTGTTTCAGTGGACATTTTCTGATTTCTCAGTCTTTTGAATAGTAGCCTAACCTTATAATACACTAAAAAAATAAAAAATAAAAAATAAAAAAAAATAAAATAAAATAAGAAAGAAAAAAGAAAGAAAGCTTGTAAATGCTGTCCAAATAGATTTTCTAGAAGTAATGCTTTACTGCATAGAATTTTTTTTTCTGTTAATTTGAGACTTCATTTTTTAAGACCTTTCTTAGAAAGAGTAACAAAAGGCAAACAGTACTCATTAGGTCTTTCAAAGATCATGTTTATTATCTGGTGTTCCTAAAACTAACAGTAGTTTGGCAGCTCAGTTTTATCTGAGCCCTGGAGATATACAAGTCACTACACAACACTGTGGAGATTTGATTTGCCGAGAAGATTTTGCAGGATTTCATTTGTTGCAAAGCCACCGAAGGAGACTGTGCCTTGAGCTGTGTTTTAACTTTTTTTATTTTGCATTCAAAGGTGGAAGAAGGTTGGTGGTCAGACTTCCCAGGTGGCTACATGCAGCACTTTTTTAGGAAGCACTGGAAATGAAAAGCTTTATTTTGTTTCCTTTTTTCTTTATACATCATTAGAGTGGAACATCATTGGACTTGGGAGTGGAACCTCCTTTTCTCATCTATTTTCTTTTCTCAAGGGTCTCAAGGGTTTCAGGTAGTAGGAAATCAAGAAAAAAATGATTATTTCTTGAAAAAATAGCTAATAGGCTTTAAAATGTTCCCCTAGCATTTGCATTTTTCCCTATACATGCCCTGTATAGAACACTGAGCAATAAAAATGTTAAGGTAATCTTCAGTATTTAAGCATGATCACTGCTGGTGCATTACAAACTCAGTACGGGTTTTATTCGTATCTTTTAATCATTCTGTTTTAAGATTCCACCATGTCACTACTCAAAACCACAGAGAAATTCCATGGAAAACAAAGCAGGGTATTCTCAAACAAACCAACCAATCAACCAAACTCCACATTTTGACTTTGTCCCCCTTGGGCGTAGGACTTTTCCTACCCCTAGTGCCAGGGCAGAAATCCCCGCTGAGAGCAGGTCAGTTTGTGTGACGTCCTGCTCCCACCATGGTCCTACCCCAGGCTCCTGCGCGCAGCAATTGCAACGGGATGACTGCAAGGAAAGAGCATCGAGTTTCGCCACGGAGCTGCGCTTACGTGGGACCAGATGTTCAGAAACGTTGGCCTCAGGCAGCTTACTGAAGCCAGCAACATGTTCTGAAGCTCTTTTATCTCCCAGTAGCAAGGAGAAGAAACAAGAAAAAACACAACCTTTCGAGGCTTCTTTTATTTCTTTTTTCATATAAAATAAAGTGAAAAAATATGTGGTGAACAATTGCTCCCGCTCACTATGGGAAGGTCAGCTCTAAAAATGAGGGGTATGTGTTCAATAAGCATGGCCCTTCTTACTATTTTCTAGAATTTACGGTGAAATTGAAGTTGTTCTGTGTGTGATGCAAACTGTTGGGAAATGAGCTAGCTTCCAGGTATGCAGAGTGTCTCTCGGGAACTGCAAATTTGTAGATGTTGCAGCAGTACCTCCAGCGCTGGAAAAGACTAGCAGGTACTGCTTGTTTATCAGTGGCAAAAGAAASAAAGCATGAAAGAAAGGCTCAGACTACAGCGCAAAATTTCCCTCACTATTGCCAAGAAAAGGAGAAGCTGAGATTCTCAAAGATCTTGAAAAGTTTCAAGGTCAGAAATATTGCAACACAGACATCAGTATGGAGCTAAAATAGAAGTAGSGGAGAATCCCTGAATCCTGAATGTCATAGAAAGCATGAGAGGACTAGCAAGAGAACCAAAAAGGCTGGGGAAATGGGTGTTTGGGGCATGCAAAGGCTTACACTTACARACTGAAAAAGGCACTTAAAAGCTTTAAATAAACATAAATAATGTGATGTTGTTCTCTTTTATTTCATTTCTAGTATCAACACAGTACARAAAGCATCTGTTCCCAATCACAATCACAACTACTTCACAATTCCCAGCCTCCCTTAAAACACAAATATATCATGTATCTCTGCACAAATAAAAATCGTATTTGCAAGCCTGTTTAGTCATAGTTTTTTACTAATTGTATTAGCTGACATAGGTGTTGGGCCAGAGAACTGCAGGCAGTGAGAAGGGTGGCAGTGCCCAAGAGGCGCGCGAGTCAGTACGTGATGGCTACCAACTGGGTCTTTTATGAAGGAAATACCTGAACAGTGTCTCACATATGTTTTGTATTCTTTAGCTTTATTAAAATACTCTGTATTTCTTCACATATTGTGAAATCCCCCATAAAGAGTGAAATCTCTTTTTAATGAGGCATTTCTGGTAGAAAAACATATAAAAAATACAGTAATATGTCGGATTTACRATGTTGTCAGCTGTTAATTGACAGCGGATGTTCGGCCATTGTGAAACAGTGCGAGTGCTGAGGGCTCATATAGTTTTCTAGTAGTCCTCCAATGACAAAAAAAAAATATTAATGCCAAAGACTGAATTTGAACTACTGTATACTTAGACTAAAAATTAGAAATAGTTTGATCCCAAATTCCAATAAAGCAATACTTCAATTAAAGGTACAGATTATTTTTTTGGGTACTAAATATAGAATTGACTTGTACAGATCATATTTTTATATAAAACCCCTTGAAATCCTGAATTTTAAAATGCTTTCAGTGTGTGGTATGAGACCTCTCAAGACATTGGGCACTTTTTGTATTGAAAGAAATTTGCAGTGTCCTAGTAGAGAAGAAACTGAACCAAAGAATAGTTTCACTTTGAAAGAGACCTGTAAAAAAATGTATTATTCAATTCTGTCTGTATTCTGCTTTTTCACATTACTGACAAAGCCTCTCTTTTCCTCCCCCATTTTGTTCTGTTAGTGCTGAATGCCCTGTAGGATTAATACAGAGCAATCTAGATTTTATTTTCCCTTCTTGTCCATGACAGTATGACTTAAATTCTGAATTCCAGTCAGGCTGTAACACTGTGAAAACACATCTCAGTCAGCACTTTTATTGCTACTGATGATGAGACAAGACACTGAAAAAGCACAGCTTGCCTCTTAAGATCCTATTGGTAAAAGTCACATTTGAAATGACTTGTACAATCAAGGTCCTATTGTAAACTTCCATTTTTCATTTTATGAACCAAAAATAATTTTAGTAACATCAGTAATCCCTTATATGCTGGATAAATACAGAGCAGTACAACTATCTTTACCATTTTTTTCTCTTTTTGCATCGTTTTTTGCCAGGAGGTGCAAAAAGCCTTGCAGCCACAAAAGAGGCAGTAAATAGCAACTGCTCTCCCAGTTCAGCAAAGACAGGAGCCGGTTACCACCACACTTACCACTCCAATGGGGAAAGCTAAAACAGCCATCATCCAGTCGCGGAGGGAAATGAGCTTTTTCAGCTGCCTTTCTTGCTCTTGGCTGTCATTCCCCTTGGTGAGAAGGCTGGAAAGGTCGGTCAATACGCAGATACCAAAAAAGACAGCCTGGATAACCTGTGCAGAAAGAAAAATGATTTTCAAAGAGTGAAAACACCCACCACTTGGTAGGGAACATGAACAGAGATAGGCACGTGTGAGGATGCCAGTGCTGATTTGACATGGGGAATGGGAAAATATCCATCACTTAAATACGAGCAGGATTTGTTCACATAAAATGCAAGGCACTTGTGCTCTTAGACTGAGAATTATTGGGGTAAGTCATATGTTCACTTCATTTAGTTTTCTAATGTGTTGCTCAAAATATTTGTATTCTAAGAGTACTAAAACAAATGCTTTGATGAGGATGCCAATGCACAGTAAATGTGCTAATTARGTAATTAGTTAGCATTAAAAACTTAATTTGCTGATAGTGGGTTTGATGCCCATTACCCACAGGTCTTGTCCTTCATTTTCCTGGAGGACTCTGGGTACGCAGAGGGCTTGTTCCCAATGTGGAGCTCTCTACTTCCACTTTAGTGAAGACCAGACCATAATCGTTAACTCTCCTTAGCCTCAAAAAACAGGGCCCCAAAGCCACAGTATCCATCAGAATGCTGGAAAAAGTGGRAAACTCTGCCAATAAAAGTAGAGGCAAAGGAAAAGAACAGAGGATCATTCTCTTGTGTCTGAAGCTGTCTCTGAGGCCTCCCATTGCCTTAGACAGTCCACTCAGAAGTGAAAAACTTTTTTGAGACTTTCAATTAAACTCACCACGCGCTAAAGGTTTGGACAGAGCTATCAGCTCAGTTCAGATAACAGAAGTAAAACAAGAATGTTGCTAGAGCTATTCAAGCTACTTTCGTTTCATGATGGAAAACTGTCACTTACTCATCACTGCACTTGTGTTTAAGTATTTGCTTGTGATGTTGTGGGATTACCTACAGTATTAAACTGGTAATTTAATAATCTGAACCCTTTCATTTGGTTCATGTGAACAGGCTGCCCAGGGAGGTTGTGGAGTCTCCTTCTCTGGAGATCTTCCARACCYRCCTGGATGCCGCCCTGTGCCCCGTGCTCTGGGTGTCCCTGCTGGAGCAGCGGGTTGGACTAGRTGATCCCTAGAAGTCCCYTCCAACCTCAACCATTCTGTGATTCTGTGATTCACTTGATCTCCATCTGGCCACTGCTTTCTCCTTCCCTAACTGCCTTAGTAAAATTTTAATAAGTCAGCTCAGGAATGTTCTTGCTCAAGAGCATATTGACCTGCTCATCCTTTTCAATCCAGTTCAGATGAAGTGCTCAGAGCTTGTTTACTCACTTAGATGGAAGCCTGGGTCACAAACTCACACACATCGGGTAATCTCAGGTAAGAAATTTGCAAGACACTGGCAGGGCTCCCAAATTGTACACTGATTCACCAAAAAGCTTAAGTATATGCCTAAAATACGTTTTTAAAACATTAATGGAATACTAGTTTAAAAGTCTAATTGTAAATTGAAGTGCTCTTCTGTTTAGGACCTCAAAGCAAGCAACAGATCATCCATAAAAAATAAGGAGACATCCACATTTTGGAAAAAAATGCATTTTATTTTGCAAATATTTTTGCAGAATTTAACTATAATTAGTATCACTAAAAATACTTTTAGGATAGTGGTCCCAAATTTGGAATACGTTAGGGAAGAACGAGGAGGGAGGGGAAAAACTGAGGAAATKAGAATAACATAATACTGGACCCTTCGATCCCAGACAGATGTTGACTACTAGAAATAAATCCAGAAAAGTGTAATAGTTGGATGCAACAAAGTACATTCGCAGCCTCAGCAACCGTTATATAACCTGCACCGCGAGGCCAMCAGGCAGAATGAGACCAGCAAATACTTGCCAGTTCTGTCTGTCGAGCTGCGAGCGACGGACCTCCAAAGGACCCTGAACACCCTGTGGCACCATCGACACCCCGGAGCCGCTCGCCCTTTCGCCGCCCCTGCTCTGYGCTCTCCGCGACGCAGATACCTGTTCCGTGCGGGATAAAGAGCGCAGCACACGGAGGAAGCAGCATCCACAGAACATTCCCCGAAGCCACGGAACACGGCACGCTGCTAGTGYGAAGGTTGTGCATTGAGTTAGGAATGGGCATTATTTCAAATGAATGGTTGGGAAAGTTATCAGCTTCCACATTACTCTTGAAAGACATTTCAAATAAAATTTGGGACTCCTTGGAGCCACATAATCATATGAACTTGTAATGCACTTTTCATGTGATGTGTTTGAAACAAAAGTATAGTAGGAAAAAAAAACTCCCCATATTCAGCCCTTTTTTTCTAGCAAGCAGATGGCCCATTCGGAGAGACGGAATTCGAAGAACTAATTTCTAACTAATACTTGCTTTCCTTAACAGAAGATACGATAACTGCTATTCACTCAAGAGTGCGAATGCCAAAGAAGGAAAAAGATTTAAGACAGCACTGAAATAAAAGTGTATCTACGAGTAATGAGATCAATCTGGGCGTAAAACATTTAGGCTGAGGACCAGGAAATATTTCCTAACAGTGAAYTCTATTAGACCATGGAATAGTTTCTCAGAGGAAGTGGTGGAAGCCTCACTGCCTGAGTCACTCAAACTGATATTGGACAAAACATTCAATAATGTACTGCAGGGAACGATACTGCGCTGGCAGGGGTTGGACGTGTGACTAACAGACTTCTTGCAGCTCTAACTACGATTCCCTGAAATGATATCTATCCAGAGTAACATAGACTCAAACAGCCTCACACCCACTTTCCAAGGGAATTGAAATGGTACATCCACTAGTCAATCATAAACTGAATAACTTCTCTTCCCATTATACTGTTATGAACACAGTGTTTCAAGGGAAAATATAATGATATCATAGTGAACAACTGCAAATTCCTCGAGGGAAAGAAAGTACCCAAGATTTTAAAGAGTAGGTATAAGTAAACTATTCTATGAAAACAATTTAAAACAAAAAAGAGAAAGAAAAAAGGAAAAGAAAAAGTACCATAAAATTTATACAAGAAGAAAGAAAAGAGTACATATTTACTGAGAACTGTTGAACATTGAGGACCAATGAAAAAATTCCAGTGTTCAGGGAGAGACAYTTCTAGCTTACTCACACAAACAACTTACTTACATTAGTTAGAATGTTTTCTTTTCGTTCTAGAATGTGTAAGAATATTCTTCTGACAACTATCAACATCTAGATTAAACTGAGGACCTCCAGACCTGCAGAAGTCTCAGCAACATAAACTGAACAGCCAGAGCCAGAAACAATTTATATCCTTCGTGGGTCTGGCACGGGGAAAGCATAACATGCACCTATTGGTAGTTTATGGCTTGAAAGAGGTTTTTTAAGTCTCTGCCCTTCAGGGTAAATTCTGCACAACAGAGGTGAAAGGTTCATGAGGGACCTGAACCTCTTTCTTACCACCATTCTCCACAAAACCCTAATATTACCTCCCATTTTCAGACCCAGGGCCTCCTTTTGAACACCTGCAGGTAAGTCAAGAGTAACAAGGTATTGTTTTATAGAAGAGGCACTGGGTTTACAGAAGGAAGCCATGGGCTATAACTTTATTCAATCTGCATAAAGATACTGGTTCCTCTTGTCCACAGCCATCCTATTATTACCCACAGATATTTTACTTTTATTCTTGTCACTTCCTTTCCCCTCTCTGCATTTTTTTAGTTTTAGTAGCAAGCAGAAGCTGAACAAAACTACATAGTCAAGCACAAATCATCGTATCAGAGAAGCAATGCCAACACTGGATAAGGAAAAACAAATCTTTGCATTTATGGACAAACAAAGGATAGAGAGAAATAAAAGCAAGGGCCAATGCCATTTTAAGTATTAAACTACAAGTCACTGTAATATATCAAATTACTACATATACAATGAATTAAAATTGAAGTGCAAACACGTAGAAAAATGTTGCAAATACTTCTTTGCAAGGAATGGGGAAGACTTGTATTTTAAAGGCATAGGTGGAAGCACAGCCTCACTCTTGGAGATTCACTAGTTGACTTAGGTTGGGGCACAAGGCCAGCCCTTGTACCAGTTTGCAAGCAATCTTCTTCTGCAGACTGCAGCTCTGTGGCCARGTTAGATCCCTCAGCTTGTTGAAGCTTCAGCAATGTGAAAAGCTTCTCCAGCACTGGGGATGCCTATAGACCTTGCTCATCAATAGCCAGTCCTCTGCAAATAGCAAACATATAACATAACAAGTAGAAAGAAAGCGACCAGGGAACCAAAAGAGAGTAAGACAAAGGTGCATTTGACTCTGGATATTTGTTGGTTAGGAATCTTGAAATAGCTAATTCTGCTTTCTCTTTCAGCCACACGAAACTAAAACTTAAATTGGACTAGTAAAACGCTTTTTTAATTTTTCTATCAGAAGAGCTGTTATTTGGCAAGTGCCCAGACTCCACAGAGATGGGCAGCCTTACAAACACCTCGCATTGCCCTCATCCCATAAACCCCAGCTTGCTCTTCACAGCCTTTGCTGAGGGAAAGAAAGGCTCCAGTAAGCAGGATGTCACATGAGGATTAGAAAGGAGACCTAACTTTATTTTCATGATCTAGCTATACGACGGGAATCAGAGCTTATAGAAACATGCTTTCTACCTGAACTCTTGCAGCCTTTTTCATTAAAGCCTAYGAGGATCATCCAAATGTAACCAATCTCATTTTAAACCAAGGAGAATTTACAGATACACACTCACAACAAAATGAAATCTTTTATGGAATTATTACTTTATTACAYGTTGTTTGATTCTTGGGTCTAGTTTTTGCAAGTACCACATTATTTAAGATCCAGTAGGCAAGTATGTACTATAAACTTTGGAAAGAGGATATAGCCATGTATTTAAATACAGCTTTGTGCTTCCAAGAGGAGAGATGCATTTAAAACTTCTTCCTGCTGAGGACGGAGCAGTTGAGCCATATCCTGCAGCCACCCCTTGCCCTCCCTCTCCATCCTCCCTCCACTTTACCCATGAAAAAAATCCCTATTAAGTTACATTTACTGAGGTGGGGGGTAAGTCTCAAACCATACAATTC